TTTCAATGAATCTAGAATTGTGCAGAGACCCAATTAGTTTTCAGTAAATATTTGTGCATATTAATCACCTAATTTGCATAATTAACCAATTTCCAACTTTCACACTATTATCTCGGGTACTAATCATCACATATCAATGAATGTTTGTACATGGATGCTGTAGGACAATAGACAGACTTCGATAATTGTGGGTTAAAATCTGTACATATTAATTACCTAATTTGCATAATTAACCAATTTTAAGCTTTCACACTGATATCTAAAGTACTAATTATTCCATTTCAATGAAACTTAGTACAAAGATGCTCTAGGACAATGTACAAACAAACCTAATTAGTTTGGGGTAAAAATCTGTTCATATTAATTTCCTAATTAGCATAATAATTCATAATTTTTTGGTTCTAATCACATTTCAATCAAACTTGGTACATACATTTTCTGTTACATTGCGCAGACCTCATTAGTTTTACACTAAAATCTGTTCATATTAATTTTCTGATTTGCATAATTAGTTTTCATCTAAGTAATTCCGAATTATATTTAATGTGTTACAATACCCTCAGCACATGGAAGTTCTTTCTAAGCTTTCTTTGATTTAATGATTTTGTTGCAATATTTTGTAATTTTCACTGACTGTCTTTTGTAAAATGAAAAGTTTTGCAGTATAATCTGTTATGTTGCACTCAAGATTTGTATGTTGTTTTTCACTGAATTCTAAACCAAAATTTATTTGCTCCATATTTTATCATTGCATGGCTATAAATATTCCCAAAGTTCCCAATTTATTGCAAAATTCTAATTTCTGTATAACAGTACTTGTTTCCCACTTATTGGTGCAATAATGGGTACTAAATTCGTTATTGACATGGCAATATCAAACACTATAGAAAGACACTTAGACATGATAATTGTCATGCTTCAATGATTCAAGCATGTTGTGAGGACAACATTTTATGGCAGTCACTGTAACTATCATAATTTCTCATGGAATCATTGAAATAAGTTTTTCAAATATCTCCAATAAGAAGCAGTTCACATAAAACCCAAAATGTATTGGTGGAATTTTGCGCACACAAATCTCATCGTGAGTTGTTGCTTACCTCTGAATAAAGCTTTTATATATGTGTATGCGCTTCTAATAGAGTGAATACAGTATTATTGTGGAAGTGGTTTTATGCGACTTGGGTGCCAATGTCTATCTTTGTAACTTTTTACAGGTTTTCCCTTGTGAAGGAACACATAGTTGAGTTCAATCAGGTAGCAATGGCTAATGCTGAAGGATCTGAAGTGATGCTGAATAGAGTAATGACCAAGGATAACATTGGTATTGCTGCTATGTTGGAAACTAAAGATGGTATATTTGAAAACTCAGGTAGGCAGTTTTTTTAGTCCTCATGACATTTTTCAAAATAAGGACTTGTGTTTTGGGCTTTAATAGAGTGTATCCGTCCAATGTCATTTATTAGACTTGCTTTGATTGATATTGATCAAAGTTGGTCTAAAGACGAGACATAAATAATAGTGTACATTTGTTTGTTTTTTTGGTTTGTTGAGATTTGATCAAATAGTGGCCATTTTTGTCCCAAACAACACAAAAATCAATTTTATTCAAACTTGTTTTTAGTGGTTGGGCTCATGATTATGTGTATATATTTTGACATTCAGTGATGGAATTACTTTCCATAAATTTGTGAATTTTATAAACTTCTACAAATAAGTTGTTCTTAAACAATCATTAATAGAACTCCCATTTTTTGTGTGTTTGTTTATTTATATTTACTTATTTAAATCATTCATACCTTTTTGTTTGTTTTTTCAGGACCACATTGCGAACTTCCATCTGCTCGTCAGTTGATTTTAGTCGCAAATGTACACATTCATTGGGATCCTGAGTACAGTGATGTTAAACTCATACAAACTATGATGTTCATGAGTGAATTGAAAACATTTATTGAAGAGTCAAGTCATAGTTTCCGACCAGGAGCAATGACGCCTGATAGTAATTCCATTCCACTTGTGTTCTGTGGAGATCTGAACTCACTGCCAGATTCAGGTGAGGCATTTAAAGTCTTGTGTTGAAAGTTCATTTTGAAAATCATGAGCCAAAATTTAACAGAAAACACCTGCGCTCTTTGTCTGAAATTTATAACATTTAAAAAAAAATACTAGCAAATTATTGATGGTCCTGTGAGTATCTGAACCACTGGTGATTGGCGAGACCCTACCCTGTTTAATTTATGCATTTATGGTTAGTGTTGGAAACAATACAAAAAAACTTTAAATCAGGAAAACAAATCAGATGCATTATGCTCTATTTCAAGAAGATAACTATCGTTTCTGCTTTAATATATATTTTTATAGACTTGCTGACTGTTGTGATTCTGAAAAAAACATCTTGAAAAATAAATATAAATTTCGATGAACGCGCTGAAGGCAGAAAGCGAAATTACTTATTTTGCTGTCACAGCTATTTCGCGTTCACCCCTTGTTTTACGCAATTAACAATTATTTTTAAAGAATGTTTATAAGCAGACTGCAAGAAAGTCAACTGTTATACAACGAATAGAAAATAGGTTTTTGTTATTTTGTTTTGTTATATGACTTCAACCTCTTTATTGTGTCAAAAGTGGGGGGTGGGTGTTTGCCTTAGCATGGGCCCTGACCCGGATAAATATGGTACTTTTCGACAATAAAGCTATTCTTCCTCATCCGTCAGCTCATCCACCTATTCATTTCCTGAGGGTGATCTTGACCACTATAGCCAATCTTGACCACTATAGCCAATCTTGACCACTATAGCCAATCTTGACTACTATAGCCAATCTTAACAACTGAGGCAAGACCTGCGAAAAACTGAATTTTTTTCCTCCACAAATTGTAGAGGCAAATATTTTTTTACATGTAAAGAAAGCCCACAAGTGTTCTTTTTATTAGCTTTGTTATCTGTGTTTGATCTGGGCAAAGCAATGCTGTGATCTTCTAAAACTTACTAAAATGCAATTCGAAATTTGATAAGCATCGATATTCTGTTTGTTTTTTCGACCTAATTAATTTTTTTTACAGTCACTGCAACCACTGATACAGTTCTTCGTTGAGTACCATGCTAACCAGAAATCTAATTTTCATTTCTGCTTTTGATAAATTTCTTAAATATTTGTTTAATTTTTTAGGCGTTATTGAGTTTTTATCACAAGGCGCAGTTGATGTCAATCATGCCGACTTCAAAGATATAAAATATCATTCCTGTCTCACCAACTTCTCAAGCAACGACCACCCGAGCGAGTTCTGTCACTCATTCAAACTCCGGCGGGCTTACGAGGGAAATATAATGAGTTTCACCAATTATACATATGATTTTAAAGGCGTTATCGACTACATTTTCTACTCGCACCAGTTCATGCATCCATTGGGTGTTCTGGGTCCAATCGATCCTCGATGGTTTGAAGAAACGAAGCTCCTTGGTTGTCCTCATATCCACGTCATGTCAGATCATCTTGCATTACTCACAGAGTTCGAAATGTCGTTTCCGATGCCTGGCAATAATTTAATAGCTCGGAGATAGCGCATATAACTAATGTGAAGTGTACATAAGAGTACATTGATTTAAGTTTCTGAAATGATCGTCTGTAATGTTTGCATTCAAGTTTTAGTATTATGAATTGTGCCATCTAGGTAATAGGCCTTGTTTATGACCCTAAAAAGGTCACATATCCTGGTACCTTTGGATGATACAAATTTATTATAAATGTGGATTTCTCAATTACATTTCCTCAGAAATGCATGCTGTGAATACACTGAAGTTCATAAACTGTTTAACACTGAAAATTTAGGTACCATTCAAAATTATTGATGTTATGAGATAATACTTTCTGAAATTACTAGGATGGGTGACCTACTATGATAATCAGTGGGATGCATATCATTATAGATATGAATACTAATCGGGTGATTCGCATAATTATCCTGTTATCTGGGTGGTATGATTTATAACATTTTTTAATAAATTTAGTGGGTTACAAAGGAATTAATTCTTAAAAGATCAATTAGCTTTGTTTCTATATTAACCCTCTTAACATCAAACTTGAATTTTGTCACTTTTCACAAAACCTGCAAACTTTTTCACATTTTTTGACAAATTTTGATCAAGAATTGTATCCAATGGCAATTTATGTCCATTTGGTTCAAAATTTAAAAAGAAATTATAAAAACATGTAGAAAAATGTTCCATCAAATTTTGGCGGGAAAGCATGAAGAATTTATAGAACAATGCAAACAAATGAGTACCAAAATTTATGAATTCAAAATATTATAGTTTTTTTCAGTTGAAAGTGAATGCAAATATTACAACTGTTTTTATTGATCAATGTGATCTTTACAGACTGACCTTATTTTGTAAAAAATAGTCGAAAAAATAATGCTGAGACAGAAGTACAAGATTTGTCTATTGTTATCAATTCCAAGTGTTCCCTTGTAAAGAATTTTATCCAAAAACTTTATCATAAGGTGATTTTTTTGAAATTTATATATAGTCTTTCAGATCTGTCCATGTTTATGTTTAACTTCAAACTGCCAAAAGTGGGAATTATTGTCATGTTTGGTTTTATCAATGCCTGAAATATTCTGGTTTGGATCTTTATGTTGGAATCTCGATGTTAAAATCAACCAAATGTTTAAATCAATTTAAATCTCCAAAAATTACATCCCTCCCCAGATACTATTTGGACAGTTTTAATATGACTTGTGTGTAAACTTTTTATTCTGTGCTATTTGCAGCTTATTTCATTTATTTTTAAATGTGTAGATCTTCATGGTAATATTCACAGACCACAGATTCTGTTCTAGAGATTGTGTCTACGTTTGCAGACTTGCATTCATATCTTAATGTTTTTGAATTTACATACATGGCACTGAATTAATTTTAAATTTCCTATTAATTGAATCATTTATTGTCATTGTTAAAGTAATGCTATTTTAAAGAAATTATAGCAGCTTTTGATAGCTTCAAGATATTGTCAATATTTGAATGTGAGTTTGCTAATGCTAGAATGGTTCCTACACAAATCTTGATTGCAAAACAAATTTTGTTTTTAAATTCAAAATTGATATTTTAATAAATATTGCCATTATTGTAATTTTTGCCAATTTTTAATTGGGTATGTTTTGATGGTTTGCAGGCAGTTTTTATTCACTACTCTACCTTCCACCTATGAATACCTTCTCTATTCTGTTTCTAAGTTTGTAAATTTGGAATTTGGGGCGTATGTATGTGCGGCATTCATCATTGCTGTTTTAAGACCGAAAAACAAATCATCAACATTTGTATGATAAAAACTGCCATGATTGCCTGCAAAGCTAAGGCCTTTGTGTGTGAAGATACTTCTATCAGATTTTTTTTATTTGCTAACGAGTTAAAGTCAGCATTGACAACTCTCTAACTAGAGACGTAAAACTATTTTTGATTGGTTGGTTGAACAAAACATTCTGGTCGGTGGATTTTTTTTTAATTGTTGTCATGGATATAAGCTTCTGTATATCAGATATATTAAATTTTCTCCCGTTTGCTATAATTTGTACAAGTTATGTTTTGTAGCAAACTGTTAGTACAATGCACAAAGAAAATTTTATCATTTTAATTATGAAAGTTCGGGTATTTTCAAGGATATGTAAATAATAGCTTAATAAATGCCATTTAAGATGTATCACCATCTTGCTCATATTCTATAGTTTGAGGACATTTAGTTATTTTTGTAGAATTTTTAGTTTGCATGTGTAGGTATTCCGATTGAAATATATCACTCTTTCCCTCACCTTCTATCCATACACTTTAGTGATAATGCCAAACATTTTAGTTTTCCATTTGCACTTTACTATTGATTGGCTGCTTTCAGTCATGTGTTCTACACTTGACTGCCTATTGGCTGCTTTCACTTGTGATGCTGCTCTTTACTACTGATTGGCTGCTCTCACTTGAGATGCTGCTCTTTACTACTGATTGGCTGCTTTCACTTGTGATGCTGCTCTTTACTACTGATTGGCTGCTCTCACTTGTGATGCTGCTCTTTACTACTGATTGGCTGCTCTCACTTGTGATGCTGCTCTTTACTACTGATTGGCTGCTCTCACTTGTGATGCTGCTCTTTACTACTGATTGGCTGCTCTCACTTGTGATGATGCTCTTTGCTACTGATTGGCTGCTCTCACTTGTGATGTTGCTCCTTACTACTGATTGGCTGCTTTCAGTCATGTGATGCTACAGTTGAATGCTCATTTGCTGCTTTCACTTGTGATGTTGCTCCTTACTACTGATTGGCTGCTTTCAGTCATGTGAAGCTGCACTTTAATGCCTATTGGCTACTTTCATTCATAATGCTGGATGGTAATTTCTTTTAGTCACTCTGGTTCAAGTTATGCTTCACATTGATGCCTATTGGTTGCTTTTACTCGAGTAATATTGATAGTTTTTTTCATCCGTGTGATACTGCAGATGAATCTATTGGTTACATTCAGTAATGTGATGCCAGGCTCATTCAATATTGGCAAAGGAGACTAAAGTTTTGAATACTGAATGAAATGAACATAACTTTCTTATAACTGCATTTGCATTCCTCCTGTCACAAGTATTCACAACAGTATAATTTCAGCAAATTTTGAAACAAACTTGATTATCTGTTTCATTGGGTGGATAACGTGCATGCAAGAGTATAATTTTTATGATGATTGTTTCATTACTTTGATGGGTCTTTCAGGCTAATAATTGGCTCTTTATGTGGGTGGGTGTATGAATTGCAGTTGTGGAGAAGCCATGTTTCTGGGAGATTGGGTGTTGATGGGAATCTGCCATGGTGGTAATTGGTGGTATTTAGTTCACGATTCAAGTTGTGATATTTGCCTTTGTTTTGCCTTAACGACAGGGGATAAGGTTAATTAGACGTTATTGGGGTGTGTTTTGACTTCCCCCTAATGAATGCATAACAATTGTGTTGGGCATTGAATCAACCCATTGTGTTTCTTTGCTGTACATCTTGTATCAATTTATACGCAACTCAACCAACCAGCTGTAAGCATTTCATTTCATTTCAAAGGCGAAATTGGTTGTCATTTTACAATTTGAATTTCCCAAGAACAAATATAGAATGTAATTCACTTCAACAAGATTGTTTTTTTTTTGTTTTTTTGAACACTATTTGAGTCTGTGATGTTAAAATTGGATTTCTTTTATTAGCTACATGTAAAATGTTTTTCCCGGAAAAGTCCTTTGTTACCACGACAATGGTTTATGTAAATATGCATTTGGTTAAAAAAAAATAGTTTCATAAGGAAAGAAAAGTTTTGTACAAATGTGATCAGAGATTCTGGTCCAGTTTTTTTAAAGTATGACCAAAGTTAAATGAGAAAATAGCTTTCCTTTTTTGTGACTAAAACAGGGATTTTGAAGGAAGAATCATTTTATATGAAGTATTTGTATTTTTTATATTGTGTCTTTAAGTGTAATAAAGCCAGTGTCCACCATAATGATATATTTGGATATCTACATGCCTCATTTGAATATGCTAATTAGGTGATGTTACCCTATTGAAGGAATTATGGAGCAGGACTGCCAACAAATTCACAATAAAAACTGATTCTAGTCACAAAAGGATGGGCACTTCATTAATATTCAGATACTAATGCAACGTCATTTAAATGCAGAAATAAGTTTCCCTTGCCTCCTGGATATGCTAATATATTTCCTATGCCTACTAGATACATGTTATATGCTAATAATTTTCCCATGCCAACTAAATGTGCTTATAAGTTGCCCATGACCACCAGATATGCCAATACATTTCCATGCCTACTAAATATGCTAATGAGTTGCCAATGCCTACTATGTATGCAAATGAATTTGCTCTCACTTGTATGCCACTCAAGTAATTCCCTGAATCCGTGGTATAGCATTCACTATATATCTGTGACTCTACCATCTAATGCATAGAATCTATTCTGTGTTTTATGCACTATATGCCACTTCACAAATGCCTAGAATCAATGTTCCACTCATCAAAACAGTCCACTAATACACAGCTTTGACACTAATATTCTATTTTCTTATCCATTCTGGTTTATGTAAATGTCATGAGTCTCTTATTGAATAAAATACTCACTTGCTGTTCAAATGCATGGAATTACATGTATGCATATTACGCGATCTAAGATGATTGACAATGTTTACAAAGACAGAATTTTCATCCAACCAAATCTATGACCAAGCAGCTGACTGATGAGATATTACTAGCATTGTAGCTAAGCATTTGTGCGGTGTCATGTAATAAGGGAAATGTACATTCTAGGCTATGGAGATCATATCAAAGGCAATTTATGAGAGAAAAAAACACCTCTTTGATTCACATTATGACGTTATAGTTCATTTTACGTTTGAACTCTGGTTCACCAGTTGTATAAGAATCCAGTCAGTAAACACATCTCTCAATCATCACGGCAGCCATATGATTATGGTGGAACCTTTTTTGGGCCATTCCACTATGAATTAGGGGTTCAGCTAGTTTAATGGTTATTTTCACC